GGCAGATAACAGATGTCACTTCCTTTCACAGAAGTTAGAACATCCTCTGACTTTCCCTTATCTGGTTAAAATCCTGCTCAGATGAGAAATGGTTACCCCTCATTCATTCCCCTTTCATCCGTTCTCATGAAAGAGTTACTGGCCGATGATTGGTCGAAATTCAGAAGATATACAGGGAATTTGTCAGAGTTCGGGGAATTCAGCGACAGTTCTGGAAGCGTCCAAACTCCATACATTTTCCTCCTGATGACCAACGTCTTTAGACGAGTCACATACAGAATAATTCCAGAGTTAGCACTTAGAAACCATACTTGGATTTTGTGTACATATTGATCTCCCATACGAAGAAGTAAATGATCTTTATCTCCAAAGTGTCCCTTGCATACAGAGAAGACGACGAACGACAACTAAACAGGTCGTATGTTTTATAATGATTTTGTGAGCTCTCTCTCGATCGCGAATAGGGTATAACATAAGCTTAGCTATCTCCCGATTTGTATATTATTTGTAGTAGTTCGGTCTCTCGTTTATCCACATTTTGTATGAGTTTATTTTCTTGTTTTATTAAATTTATTATTTCGTTTTAATTAAAATGTCTCCTAATTGTGTGACCGAATCAGATCGCGTACGCGTGTTTGTCCGCGGATCGATAAATTGACAAACTGGTGTCGGGACCCTGACATAGGAAGAAGGTGAATTTGCCCCACCAACTTCCGCTCTAAATTATAATCTAACAGTAAAGCCCTCCTAAATAAAAGTTGAGAGCCGATCTCGCGATCGTGCGCTGTAAGTGGCGTAGACTTTGATATACGTCCAGGCTGATCTCACATTTATGATACTTCTATAAAGATTGGAAAAGGTAAAGTAGAAACTAACAAAATTAATATTGTCAAATTAACGATTAATGACAAATTATGATAATTCTTTATATATTTTGATTGTCTGATAGCAATTTGAGTCTTTTTATGTTCATAATAATTCACTATTCTTAAACTGATTTAAGCAAATATTTTATGTGGAGCAAATATAGAGCCAAAATGGAATTTTGTTTACTTTCAATTACACCTAAAAGTCTAGATTATAATCTAAGAAGTAAGATAAATGATGAATGAGTTGCTAAAAAAATGACACTTTGCATAATTTTCTGTTTTATGTGATTATTGTTTAAATTTATTTAACCCAAAAACATTGAATTCATTTAAAAATTGGCTTCTTCAAAGAATTATTCTCTTTGAAATATTTTTAGCATTCAGAAATATAAACCAAGGTGTGCACTTTGTTTTTGTGAAGGCAAAAGATAGAGTAGTCAATGCAATATGTGCTGTTTTTCTTATAAAGCATAAGATTTTGGAAATTTGAAATTATCAAGAACATTAAATGCTCCAAACAGGAATTAAGAGATTATGAAAACATTCTCAAAGGTTCTACATGTTGTAGGAAAAAAAAATCTAGTACAACTGTTCTCACCCATTTTGAATTTGCAATACCAGTTGGCCCCCTATAACACTGTTGATAATTCCGTTTTATATGAATTCCATGTTGTATGAGTCACTTAGATTTTACAAATACGTGTGCCGGGCTGTGAACGGCTCACGTATTTGTAAAATCTAAGTGACTCGTACAACATGGAATTCATATAAAAC